CAGAAAAACAGTGAAAATGCACTTGAAATTTAATATGGGCTGAACATAACAGAATGGAAATGACAAGAAGATTCAACAAACATGAAGATGAATCAGTAGAAATTAGCCAATGTGAGGAAAAGGAGAAAATGTACCAAAAAAATGAGCTTTAGGGGAAAATAACGATGTATAAAATATATTTGACTTACCAAAGTAGAGAGAAGAGAGTAATAGAGAAAAAAATATTTGAATAAATAACAGCCAAAAATTTTCCAGTTTTTATGAAAGATGTAATTATATTGATTCAAGAAACTCAGCAAAGCCCAAGCAGGGTAAATGGAAAACAAACAACACTTAGTATTAGCTGTCTTTTGATTCCACCATACTATCAGGTGTATAATGGTATCCATTGTGGTTTTGATTTGCATCTTCTTGAGTAATGACATTGAGAATCCTTTCTTGTGCTTATTGGCCAATGATTGGGGAAATGTCTATTCAGTTCTTCATCTGTTTTTACATTGTGTTATTTATCTTCTTATTTTTGATTGGTAAGAGTTCTTTATATAGTCTTGATACAAGTCTCTTTTCAGATATGTGATCTGAAAACATTTTCTCCCATTCTGTGGGTGTTCTTCTCACTTTCGGTGATAACCCTAGCAGCAGGAGTTTTTTAACTTGCTGAAGTTCACTTAGCTGTGTTTCATTTTCTTGTTTATGCTTTTGGTGTTATATCTAAGAAGACTGTGCTTAACTCAAGATCACAAAGATTTACTCCTTTGTTTACTTCTAATAGTTCTATGCTTTCAGCTTTCATATTTAGGTCTGTGACTCATCTTGAGTTAAATTTTGTGTATAATATCAAGAAGGAATCCAGCTTTATTCTTTTGCCTGTGGATATCCATTTGTCCCTCCACCATTTCTTGTAAAGATTATTCTTTCCCCATTGAGTTGCTTGGCATCCTTGCTGAAAATCTACTGATAATTGACATAGGGTTTATTTCTGGGTTCTTAATCCTATTCCATTGATTGATATGTCCATCCTTTTGCCAGTAGCACACTGTTTTGATTACTTTAGCTATGTAGTAAGTTTTGAAATCAGAAAATGTGAGTCCTCCCACTTTGTTCTTCTTTTTGCAAGATTGTTTTGCCTATTTTTGGGTTCCTTGCATTTTCATATGAATTTTAGGGTCAGCTTGTCAATTTCTGCAAAATGGCACCTGAGATTTTGACAGGGATTGTATTGAATCTGTAGACCAATTTGAGGAGTATTGTCATCTTTCCAATATTAAGAACAATACTAATTTCCATTTTACTAGGTGTTCCTTTCTGGCTCTTAAAGTACCAAATGTTTAACTGTCCAGAGTGTTCACCATTTTTCATGAGAATTTAGCAGAGACCACAAGTTTTAGCAGTCATATGAAGAAGAGGGAGAGGCCAAAGAAGTTTATCCATCATGCTTAGTGCAAGGTATTATTTTTAGTTCCTTTTAAATTATAATTGTATCTTAATGTTTTTGACTGACTGACTCTAATCAATTTAAGCATACCAATAAGCAGCCATGAACATATATGATATAGTTGCTTGGAAGTCTTGTTTTCCAGCCCAGCTGGAAAGGGAATGAGACTCTTCTAGCTGTTTCTCAGATTTGTTTGAAGTTTTTTGTTTTTCTTGGAGTTTCCAGTAGAGATGCCAAGCTGGCAGCAAATGAAGTATTCTGTAATGTGAAGCCTTATAAATACAAGTTGGATCATGGCCATCATTATCAGAAATGCTGGTACAGAAAGCACAAAGGGAAGATTTTCAAATTAAGGTTAGCCTGTACATATAAATGTTAGCTTGTGAAGCTCAAGAAATACTAAATTGTAGTCCATTAGTCTCCTACATTTTATTGCCTTTTTGGAATAATCATGTACTTCAGAACATCCTTTAATCTGAGCTGGCTTGTGGTTGTAGAAGAACACAGCTTCTTTTTTCTTTATGCTTTTTATGCTGAGATGAGGAAAGTTTACCGCATTTTATAAATAAATCAGAGCTAAAAAACAAATTTTCTTCCCACCTTTTTATCTTCACGGAGGCCCCACTTTAAGGCATTTGAGTGATGCATTTATACTTGGCCGCACAACTTTTTCCATGGAAAAAAATAATCTTCAAAGCCACTTTATTTATTTATTTATTTATTTATCTGTTTTTGCCTCTTACAGGACACACTATTTGAAACTGTGGTAAAGGGAATATGGTTCTTATGTTAGGAGCAGATCTTTCCATTTTCCAAACACTGGAAGTTTCACTTCTACTTTTTTACTTTGAGAAAAACTAAAATGCATTTCTCATTTAAATGAATATGATGTCTTTATTTAAGACCAAGTATTTTATTTATATTAAGATAGAAAATTCTTAAATATTAGTGGAACTCAGTGTATATGTCATGCTTTAAATAGACAGGAACATTGTTTTACATTGAGCAAGACTTCCTTTGATTTTTAGCTTTACTCCCAAATTATCTCAGCAGGTGTGGTAGGACTGGAAACTGGTTGGAAGATTTAACACATTTCCCCCTGCCTGATATTTAATATAAAAATGTTTGCTGTTATAAGTCAGGATGGGAACTACTGATTAAAAGCAATGCATCTTATTACACAAGGTTTTATTTTAAAAAATTTTAAATATGTCTCCAAAGCTGATAATGACTGAAGTTTATGACTTTAATTTAAATGTGGTCATAAGTTACTAATAAAGTAAATGAACTAAACTTAGTTAGTAAGAATGAGATGATATAAAGAAAATTGTTGCTCAATTAAATTCAAAGTGTTTACATTAAAAATTTTTGAAGCAATTTCAGTATTTAGGTATTTTATATTACATATATGTTCTTATTAGAAAGCCTAGAAATTACCAAGTGTCTTAGAGGGACTTTTAAAATCAGGTCTGAGTAACTCCAGAAAGCTCGTTACTTCTTGTCCACATCTTAAGAAACAGCGACATTGCTGTTTAGGAAAAGTCTTTTCTCCCCACCATGATGTTTCTCTAATGTTGGTCCCTCGCTGCCTCTGACCCGCAGATAAGGGAGGGGATGCGATGAGATATTGAAGATCTGAAAGGACCAGCCAGGGGACTCAAGGCTTAACCGCTCAAGAGTGGTACTGAGAGGGCACCTCTCATATTTATTGATAAAATGGTTGTTAACAACAATAAAATTCTGCATAGGGGACTCAATGCACAATCATTAAACAACCCCAAGCCTAACTCTCAATGGTCTCCAATCTTCTGAAGCATAACGAACAAATTCTTACATAGGGAACAAGTTCTTACATGATGAACAATGCAAGGGCAGTCATATCACAGAAACTGTTTCTGTTTTGATTATGCATTGTGAACTATTGATTGATGAACTATAAACAAAAAAGTCAGATATGATTATTCATTTGATTTTTATACTTGATTCATATGTGAATCCCACACTCTAAAATTTGATTTGTGTGAGTTAAATTACCCTATCCCCCATTCTTCAGTATTACTGTTAATAAGATAATGTTTTAAATATGTGTAAGCTTTCCTATTTAGGGAAGGTGAGCCAAGTTAATCTCATGATGTCTCAGTCTGTCTGGGCTGTGTAACAAAGCACCACAGGCTGGGTAACTTATAAACAACAGAAATTTCTCATAGTTCTGAAGGCTGGGAAGTCCAAGGTCAAGCCACTGGGAATGGCTGTATTCTGGGGAGGGCTTTCTTCCTCGCTCATAGCTAGCACTTTCTTGACATGCCCGCGCATGGTAGAAGGGTCAAGGGATCTCTGGAGCCTTTTTTGTAAGTGCTAATCTCATTTAGGGCAGGAGAAGTATGGTTTAACGCATTCAGATCATAGAGTATGACATGTGGAAAATCAGGACAGCAGCACCGCAGAGTAGCCGACAGTGTGAGCTCTGGAAGCAGTCTACCAGGACTGGAATCCTGGCTTAACCTATTACAAAAGTGTAGCCTTAGAAATATTCTCTAAGCCCCAGTTTCCTGTACTGTGAAACTAGGAATGTAATAATACTTATATAAATTTCCTGTAAGAGTAAGTGAAAGAACATATATAAAAATATTTTGTATGGTGCCCAGCACTTAGGAGTCAATATTAGCCATTATTAACTATTGTGCATTTATAACCTAAAGCCTTTAGTTTTTTTCTTCTATCAATTCATAAAGATTTGTTTTGTTGTACCCTTTTAGCTGTATGATTTCAGCTCAAGGAATAAAGAAATAAGATGGTTTTCAGTTCTTTTAAGCAAGTTTACTAGAGGATGGTAGAATAATTTCAGGCCATCTTGTTGCTCTGTTGCAGCTATCACCCAACAGGGTGTCTAATTGCTGCTAGACATGCATAATAGAGATATTTCCACTGGTAGGTTAGTTTTTGCAAAAATTGAGATATAATTCACATGTTATAAAATTCTTTCAAAGTCTACAATACAGCAGATTTTAGTATAATCACAAGAATGTGCATTTGTCATCACTAATTCTAGAACATTCTCATCACCAAAAAAGATCTCCTATATGCATTAGCAGTCACTCCTCATCCCCATGGCCTCCCATCCCCTGGAAACTACTTATCTACTTTCTATCTTCATGGATTTATCTATTCTGGATATTTCATATAAATGGAGTCACACAACACATGACCTATAACTGGCTATTGTACTTAGCATTATGTTTTTGAGGATCAGCCATGAAAACATAATGCTAGCATATATCAGAACCTCATTCTTTTTTAAGGATGAATAATATTATATTCCATTGTGTGAGTATACTACATTTAATTTATCCATGTATCAGTTGGTGGAAATACATGGAGAACAAAATACCCTTTTTGTCCTGAGACAGATTATTCTATTGTCAACTCTTTAGAGGGAAGTTTATAGAATTTGAGTCAAATGATTGAAATCTGGGTTTTATTTTAGAGAGGATTTTCTTGCACTTTCATTCAATCTTAGTTATTTTATTTTATGTTTTAACTCTGAAGCTTTTCTGAACTTTTCCAGAGAAAAAGAGGAGCAGCTAACTCGTGTGACTGAAGTTCAGAGGTTGCAGGCCCAGCAGGCAGATGCTGCCCTGGAAGAATTTAAGCGGCAGGTGGAACTGAACTCCGAGAAAGTCTATGCTGAAATGAAAGACCAGGTGAGTAGGTCACCATTCCATTCTTTTTGAAAGCCACTCTCTCAGTGTGAAGGTACATTCTGATCGTAAGTATGACAGAAACATAATTACTTTACAAAAAAGCTTTATCAAAATTAGCCATATAGTTGGACCACGGATCCAGAATGAGAAAGGGATAGTAGCCCTGGTGGAGAAGGACACCACTTCCACCTGAAGAGCCTTAAGGAAGAAGTGTCCCCTAGCAGCCAAGAAGCAGAGCCCTGTCGGAGAGGGCTCAGTCTGCAGGCTCACCCTGCTCCAGGCAGAGCATGTGAAGGGAAGGGGCTGCGCTGTCCATTTCTGGCGTGCCTGCTCCAGGCTCCTCCTACATCACTGGGTGGGCACTGATCAGCAAATCCCTGATGGCAGTGAGGGGAGGGAAAAGGGTGGAGAGCCGCCTGGAGCTGTGCCGACAACCAGATGGGTCCTCTCTCCTCCTGCAGGATTCCTTGATTCACCCTTAAAGCAATGCCAGAATAATCACTTTAAAGTCACATCTACAAATGTAACAGAGGTAAGAGTGGTCATATTCGCATTGGGAGTGTGGATCGACCTACAAATAAAGTCCCATGACCACTTTCTGTAGAGTAAAAGTTCAAGTTAACCATGTCTGTGTTTGTTCATGTTCCATAAATAGTATTTCATTGATCAGTTGTAACAAAGTATTTTTAGCTGGTATTTCAGGAGGACTGAGGCAGTCTCCAGTTCCTGTACAAGTTAAGTGGTATGTTTTTAGTTTTGAGAGAAAAAAATTGTAAAAGAATAAAGGGAAAAAACACCTAGGCACCCATCATGAATCAACAGTTGTTAACACTGTTTATTTACACTAACACATTCCAGATGAAGTTTTAGTTTGCTTTGTTATTCATGTCTAATTACCTTATTCTCTCCTCTCTACCTGTGGGAAAACCACTATAATTAATTTACTGTGTATTATTTTAGTCTGTTTTATACTTTTATATGCATTTATAATGTTCACAGATATTTATATGCATATATGTTATAATGCATATATAATATTTTCTGCATATCTATGTTTTAAAAAGATAACTATTACAGATTTTATGTTTGCTCTTTTATATTTAGTTTTCTATATCTGTATATAGTGTCAACTGTTGATTCATGAAACACTATTTATGGAACATGAAAAACACAAGACATGGTTGCTGATCAGTGCCCACCCAGTGATGTAGGAGGAGCCCGGAGCAGGCACGCCAGAAATGGACAGCGCAGCCCCTTCCCTTCACATGCTCTGCCTGGAGCAGGATGAGCCTGCAGGCTGAGCCCTCTCCGACAGGGCTCTGCTTCTTGGCTGCTAGGGGACACTTCTTCCTTAAGGCTCTTCAGGTGGAAGTGGGTGTCCTCTGCCAGGGCTACTATCCCTTTCTCATTCTGGATCCCTGACCCAATTGTATGGCTAATTTTGATACAGCCTTTTTGTAAACTAATTATGTTTCTGTAAGGATAAAACTAGCAAAGAAATTAGAAAAAATAATGGAGCAGTGCTTCAGAGTTTTGAAAGAGGAAGTTGTGACTCAATTTTATATACAACCAAGGAGTTTTTCACTTGCAAAATCAATAGAAAACCATTTTCTGAATAATAACTTACATTATGTACACCACTTATTTCTTTTCTGGAAATAATTATGTGAACACATCAATCCAGAGATGAAGCAAAAGATATCCACCCATGGGGAACATCATGATGAAAGGATGAGTAGAGAACAATGGACTCCAACAAAGTAAAAACAAATTAGCTTATTGTTACAAATATGCCTACAAGATAAATGCTAATGTTTATGGATTCTTGAAAAAGAATATAATGGAATATAAATATATATGTAATATAAATATTATATAAAAAAGAAAATAGAAATTTAATAACAACAACTCAAATCTAAATCCCTGGATCACATTAACAAAGATCAAGATGTAGGTGGATAGTGAGCTGGTGAAAGGAGCAGCACGCCCTGAAGAAAGGACACGCAAGGATTTTAAGATGAGGGAACTGTATGTTTAAATAATTTTGAAATATGTAATCAAAGGCATTAATAAAATTAACAAGATGTTACATTCACATAAAAGTCTTGAGAAATAAAAGCAAAACTTGAAAGGATATTGCCAAAGGAACAAAAGCAGAAACAGAACAAAACGTCCAAAATAAGACAGAATATGTAACTGTAACAATAAATATTAAGAGGTTAAATTTTTCTAGTTTAAAAAAGGTATTGATTAGCTGATTTAAATCCACTTACGTCCTGTTTACAAAAGACAAGTAAAAATTACATACAAATTTTATTAAAAATAGGATAAAATATATCACTTGTATTCAGAAAAAAAGAAAGACTATAATATCATACAAATTAACATCAGTACGAGTCAATAAACTGGACAGAGGGTTATATTTTTCATGCTGAAGGTAAGAATAGTTGATCAAATATGAAAAGGTACTAGGGATACATGGAGAAATTGACATCAATAGTCATAAAGTGCTTTAATATATTTTCCTTCATCTTTGACAGATTAAGGGGGAAAGAAATCAAACAAATAGGAGGCCTAAATAAAGTTTCTCAAACAGCTTATATTTCTACTTTCTACCCTTTGATTATGTCACATTAAATTCCTACTCCCATGGAATAGTTATAAACTCAGTAGACCATATGGAAACACTCAGTATATTTCTAAATATGACATACATGAAGCACATATTTTTGCCACAGTACAGTAAAACCAGAAATTAAATTTCAATTACAGTTGCTACATTGGACTTCACCAAAATTAAAAACCTTTGCTCTTTGGACGACACCATTAAAAAACAAGAGGAAGTAAGGCAAGCAAAGAATGGGAGAAAAGACTCAGAAATATTTTCAAGAACGTTTATCTAAAATGTAAAAGAAATCTTACAACTCAGTAATAAAAAAACAACCCAGTTAAAAAATATGCAAAATATTTGGACATCTCAAAGAAGATAAACAAATGACTAATAAACACATGAAAAGATGTCAGTATCATCATTCATCAGGGAAATTAAAATCAAATGAAAGTCCATTACATGCTCATTAGAATGGTTCAATTATAAAGATTGATTGAAAATGTCAAGTGTTGGTAAAGAAGTGGGTGGTCAAATGGAGTCTTTACACACTGCTGGTGGGAAAAATTGCCAATATCCTAAAAAGTTAAACATATAATAACCCATGTCAGTCATTCTATTCCTATGTGTTTAATGAAGAGAAATGAAGACATACAAAGACATACACAAATGTTGACAGCATCATTCACAAAAGCCCAAAAGTTGAACAGCCAAAGTGTTCCTCAGAAGTTGAAAGGACAATCAAAATGCAGTATGTACAATGGAATACTACTAGCAATAAAAAGGAATGAACTATTGATACCCACAACAACACGGGTGAGTCTCAAAATCCTGTTGAATGAAAGAAGCCCAAAGCAAAAGGGTACATATTGTGTGTTGTGTATTATCTGGGTAATGTTAGAATGTCCTAGATAATGTTGAGTTTTTTGTTTTAGAAGATTATCAACCCATTTCCTTTTAGAGAAAAAGTCCTACTTCATCTTCTGTGGGTGGATTCCAGTTTGAGTTAAGTTCCAAAGCCTTTGCTCTGCTGTTTTGGGTCTGTTTGGATTGTGCCACTCAGGAATGAGTCTGAGATGTGGGTGGCATTTAAATCACCCCACCCAATGTCTACAGGCATTCATGGAACATTCTCCAGGATAGACCATATGCTTGGCCACAAAACAATTCTTAATACATTTTAAAAAGGATTAAAATCACACAAGATGTGTTCTTTGACCCCAATGATAATAAATTAGAAATAAACAACAATAAGAAATCTGGGAAATCCCCACATATTTGGAAATCAAATAACACTTAAAAATAACTCATGAGTAGAAGAAGATACAAGGAAAATAGAAAATATTTTGAACTGAATTAAAGCAAGAATATAGCATATCAAAATTAATGGAGAGCAGCTAAAGCAGAACTTACAAAAGTTTATAGCTTGAAACATCTATATACAAAACATCTATGTTGATTTAGCAACCTAAACGTCATCTTTAGAAATGTGAAAAGTAATACAAGATCCTTCCCAAGCAATTAGAAGAAAGGAAATAATAAATATTTTTATATTTTTGCAAAATACAAAGAGGTAGAAAACAAAAATATAGATAACCAATGAAGTCAAAATTTGGGTCTTTGAAAAGATCAACAAAACTGACAATGCTTTAGCTTGATAGGTGAAAAAAAAAAACTGCGGAAAAGCAAATGACCAAATTAGGGATGAAAGAGGAGAGGACACCGCTACTGATCCTATGGAAAATGAAAGAATTATAAGGTGATATTTTGAAAACTTTATGCCAACAAACTCCTAGAAAGATGCAAAGTATTAAAATTGTCTGAAGAAGAGAAAATCTGCATTGTCTTATATATAAAGATATTTAATAAGCAATTAAAAACCGTACAAAAAAATACCATGACCAGAAAGCTTCACTGGTGAATTCCTTCAAATATTAAAAAAAAAATTATTTCAGTTCTTTTAGAACTCCTTATTAGAATCACTTCCTAGTTCATTCAGTAAGGCCAATATTACTTTAATAGCAAAGCCACAGACATTGCAAGAAAACTATAGAGCCATGTAGGTCATGAATGTAGACATAAAAACCCTTAATGATATTTTTTTTAGCAAACTAAGTCTAGGAACTTATAAAAATGATTATACACATGACCAAATGGGATTGATCCTAGGAATCCAAGGTTGTCTTAACATTGGAAACTCAGTATCATACACAATAAAGGACAAAACCATATGATCATCTCAGAGGCAGAAAAAGCATTTGAAAAAGTTTAACACCATTCATGACTTAAAAAACATTCTTGGTGGAGCCAGGATAGCGGTGTGAGTAGAGCAGCGGTAATCTCCTCCCAAAACCACATATATCTATGAAAATATAACAAAGACAACTCCTCC